AGGAATGTATGAGTATGCAGTGAGGCTAACCTTCTAAGATGAAACCATGACAAGATCAGAAATCTGTGGGGTTTGTAAAATTTTTTTGACATTTATTTATTTTTGAGAGACAGAGCATTAGCAGGGGAGGGGCAGAGGGAGAGGGAGACAGAGAGTCTGAAGCAGGCTCCAGGATCTGAACTATTTGTCAGCACAGAGTCCGACATGGGGCTCAGACTCACAAACCATGAGATCAAGACCTGAGCTGAAGGTGGACGCTCAACCAACTAGCCACTCACGTGCCCCAGAAATCTGTGGTTTTGAGCCAAACTATTTTGAGCCAAACTATGTCTATGTCTAGATTTGTTTTTGTCTTTTCTTTTCATTCTCATAATTTTATTAAACTAATGCTTCGTATCAGAGTGTGTTCTGTGGCCAGGCACTATTTTAAGTGTTTTTGCTTTGTTTTAGTTTTTTCATTGTAATTATTTTGAGTGAAAGAGAGAGAAAAAGAGAGAGATTCTTCACATGAGCAGAGGAGGGGCAGAGAGAGAGAGACAGAGAATCTCAAGCAGGTTCTGTGCTGACAGTGCAAAGCCTGATTCAGGGCTCAATCCCACAAACCGTGAGATCATGACCTGAGCTGAAATCAAAAGTCAGATGTTTAACAGACTGAGCCAGCCAGGTGTCCCCAGGGTCTAGTTTAGACCTTGGGAATACAGTGAGCAAAACAAGTAGGATTTTTGCCCTAATGGAGCTTACGTTTTAGTGGAGGAATATAGATAATAAAATGAATAGACAATCAGAAAATCAAGGTAAGTTTAGATAGTGATAAGTGCTCTGAGAAAGTTAAAACAAAACAAAATAAAACAGTGAGACAGAGTGATCAGGGTAAGGGGAGGAGGGGCCTACCTACTTTAGACGGATGACTGGAAAAGTCTCCCTCGAGGAGGTGATAGTTACCCTAAGTGACCAGAAGATCTGAAGAAAGACTGATCCAAGAAGGGCAACAAGTACTGTGCAAAGGTCAGTGTGCTTGGCTGGGCACTGCACGTGAGGTAGAGAAAGCCGAGGGATGACGTCACACAGAAGGCAGGATTTAGATCCCACAGAACTTTAATTCAGAGATCGGGACTTTGGACTTTATTCTAAGGGCATTTAGAAGCCATTAGATAATGTTAAATGGGAATGAAATGGCTTATTTTAATTTTGATTTTGAAATTTGGCAAGAATGGAAGCAGGGGCTATTAAATTAGAAGTCACTTTTAAGAGTCCAGGTGAGACATAACACGTACTTGGGACAAGATGGTTACTTTAACAAGGAGATAGAAGGAGTTGAACAGATTCAGGATCTATTTTATTTATTTTTTTTAAATGGCTTTTTATTTATTTTGAGAGAGCCAATGAGCACAAGTGGGGAAGGGGCAGAAAAAGGAGACAGAAACCTAAGCAGCCTCCATGCTGTCAGCACAGAGCCTGATGCAGGGCTTGAACCCATGAACCATGAGATCATGACCTGAACCGAGATAAAGAGTCAGATACTTAACCGACTGAGCCACCCAGGCATCCCCAGGACCTATTTTAGAAGTAGACAACAGAACGTGCTGGTGGATTGGAAACGGGGTATGAGGAAATGAGAGGAATCTCACAGGGGGCTGCTTGTTCCATTTACTGGCATGGGAAGGCCGGGAAAGGAACAGGTTTTTGGAGGGGAATCAAGAGACCTGTTTTGCTCATGAAACCTGTTTTGTTTGAAAGGCCTGTGAGACACCCAGATGGAGACAGCAAGCAGAGAGCTTGATGAGTGAGAATGAAGCGGGCCTTCAGCAGTCTCTCTGAATTTACAGCCTGTGTGTGGAAACTTCTTAACAAAGTCTGAAGAGGGCCCAGGAAGAGCATCCCCCTTTCCTCTGGGCCAGCAGAAGCCCCCTACAAAGGCCCAGCTGAAGGGTTGGCATGCCCGTGGGTAGCAGTACACTTCATTTCACGTAAGTAGAAGTGCTTAGAGACCTGAGAAGGTCAAGCAAGTTGTAAATTGCTATTTGTCATTTACCTATGTTTCAATTAGCCAAGCGCTTTCTCTTTAATTTTGAATGATCTTCAGTTGGCTCTTAGCATGAAGTTTCTGGTTTAACTCTGTGGACTGTTTAAAGTAAAAAGCTTTAATCCACCCCTTGATGATTTGGGAGTGCAGGAGAGGTCTCTAAGGGAGCTCAGGAAATACCTGCCTCTTCATTACTTCTGGAAAGTTGAAGAGGAAAACAAAGAGTGGGACAAACAGGTAGTTATGTTGGAGGGAGGGACTTCAGGTCTGGTAGACAGGTGTGCTGAGTTAATACTGACCTTTAGAATCAAGAGCTGTCTCACCCACTTGCAAGCAGCACTGGGCTTGGGCAGACAGGGGCCTCCCAAGAGGAAAAAGGTGGCAGTGTTAAGCCCAGCATACCTTGGCCAAATTTAGTTTTATCATCAGTGGTGAAATGGTTACATCTCTGAGAGAGGCCTTGGAGTGGATAAAGGGCATTTTCCTCTAACAGATAATGGAAATGTTCACGGTTAATTGGCTGGTTTTATAGATTTTGATTTTCAGTAAGTAGAGCATGGTTAAATGCCAACAAACAGGTATCAAGCACAATTCTGCCATGTATCGACTGTGAAATTGTTGGGAAGGTTTCTGGAACTAAGTCTCAGAGTTCTCATTTGTAAATATAAGGATACTGGTAGCTACCTTGTGAGATCATTCCCCTCAGATATTCAGGGCACTGCCTGGATCAGAATCGGCACTATTACTATGACTGTCATGATGGCTATCACGACTACCATGTTAGGAAATCTGCTAGGTGCTAGGAATATAAAGAGAAAATATATAATCTTACCATCTAGAAGCTGAAGACTCTGTAGGGAGGTAGAAATAAAAAAAAAATTAAAATATAGTGTAACGCATGTGGGGCGGGTGCCTGTCAGTGATACACTGTAGAGGGACTCTATCTTTGCAGGCGGAGACAGAACAAAACACTTGGAATTGCAGAGCCTCTCACATCCTTATTGGATAGGGGGTCAAGTAAGTAGCTCCAACTGCTTTTCAAGCAAGGCATCAGGAAATGTCCTATGATTTTAGTCTTTTTTTTTTTTTATGGGACGTGGTCACCAGTGAGTTTAGAACAATGATGGCTCTAAATCCTCAGAGTGGTGAGGCCAGAGCTCTGATTAGCCCTCTTGATGGTGCAAAGCGCTCATTACTTTGGAATCTGACCCCAGGGGCCTAAAGTGGTCGAGCCTGCGGTCCAGGGGATCAAGGTGACACTGAGACAGGCTAGAAAGGCCCTACTCAGGCCCAGATTCTGACATTGCACTGATCCTACTACCGTGCAGGTTCCTCATGGTGACAATGTGTTACTGTTTACTTGTGTTAAACAGCTTTGCTGCCTCGCCGCTGAGCCACCTCACATGCAGCAGCTAGTGCCTAGGCATCTTATAGCTGTGATCCATTAATCCGCACTGCGTCATCTAACTGGGAATTTGGCCAGGAGCACTTCCTATTAGAGAGCTCTGGAGTGTGGCTGGCCCACCCCGGAAAATAAGCCAAGCAACTTCCAGGCATCAGGGTCACATGGCCAGTTTGGCCACATTCACGCTTCTGCCTCAGCCATTAGACTGAGTCATCAGACTCCTTTTCAGGCACCTCTTAAGCACAGAAAATCCTGTATTCATAAAGGAGCGGGTGCTGAAGGTAGGACAGTTTGGACTTCTGGGCTTTCTATTATGGTTTATGAGGGCTCAAGCATTTGCACTCTAGGGATGAACCAGGAGGCACATCATTTGTACCCCAAACTGTGTAGGAGACATCTTGGTCACTTACACTAGAGAAGAATGTATGAGTTACAGTAGCATGAAGCCAGGGGTAATGAATTCTGTAAGAGGAGGTGTTGAACAAAGACTTCGGAGAGGTCAAGCCTGAGCAGGTTTTAGAAGTATGAGTGTGAGTTCACAGTGATAGAACGGAGGAAGTCAATTACAGACAGGAAGAACAGCATGGGCAAAAGCTTTACTAACTCAGACAAAATATGGTATCGCCAGTGAACCCAAAGTAGGTTTGCCCACTTTGCCACAGATTGTTTTGGTGGATTCATTTCTTGTTCCTATATTTAATAGGTAATGTTCTGTAGCTCTTCACAAAGTACACAGGTTTAATATATGGACATACATGTATTTAGGATATTGCTTGGCATATGGTTAGCACTCTTAGTCAAACTTCTGGTAACTAAATAGCTCAACTTTTTCTGTATAAAATGTAAAAATACTTTCAAGCCCAACCAGCAACCATCATTTCCTGTTTTCCACTCTTGCCCGAGCCAATACCCATCGTTCAACAGTCCGAAACACCCAATTTCCAAAGCCAAGCATGTTAAGAGGCCAGTTTAACATCCGAAATGGAAAAGCTTTAAATGTTTCTGGTCTGGGGATGATTCCAGGCCAACAAATAATATCTACAACAAGCCCTGAGGATTTTTATGTTACTTCCGCAGTGCCATTCCAGAGGTTTGTTTTAAACAGTAGTATTTGACCCTATAAGACCACCGTCCTTTATAGAAGGCTGCACATGTTCGAGGCGGCACCGAGAATAGTGAGGGAGTGCGGAATGGGGCTAGGTGTGGCGGTTCCCGCAGAGAGTGCCACGTAACCAGGGCGCTCCAACTAATTTGACATCTAGGAAAGGCTAAGAGAAGCGTAGGCCGGCCCGGATATTAGGGCAGAAGGCTCGGGTGGGAGCAGAAGCAATGAGCCGTGCGGCCCTGGGCTGGTGGGCAGCCTCGGGGGAAGGAGGGTCCCGCGTGGGGCGCGGGAAGGATGCGAGGAGAGAAACGTCACGCGGTGCCGGGTACCTCCCAGGAGCGCTGCGTCCAATGGGAGGAGGGCGCGAGCCGCACCTCGACCTGCCTAGGGACGTCACGACGCCGAGGCGGACGCCCGGCCAATGGGAGGCCGTCACGGGTAGGGGCGGGGCCCAGAGGAATTGGGCTGGGCCGCACCGAGACAGTTGGCCGAGTCGTGTGGCCGCCGCCGGGAAAGGGGAGGGTCGAGCCGGCGGCTGCCGACGCCGGCCTGCGCTAAGCCTCTCGCGCGCCCTTGCGTCTTTCCGCATGGTGCCGGCTTCTCACTAAGCGGCGGCGGCGGCGGCGGCGGCGGCGGCGGCGGCGAGGCGAGAGGGACGCACGGCTGGGGCGGCTCGGAGTCGAGGCTTCCCGTCTCCCGCACTTCCTCCTGCGGCGCCAGTGCGTGGCCGCCTCGGCCAGCGGGATGGCGGCTGCGGCCCGGGGGAGTGGCCGCGCATCGGCGACCCGGCTGCTTCTGCTTCTGCTGCTCGCGCTGCTGTGGGCCCCGGCCGGCGTCCGCGCTGTCCCGGACGAAGACCTTAGCCTTCGGAACAAGGAACCGCCGGCGCCCGCCCAGCAGCTGCAGCCGCAGCCCGCGGCGGTGCAGGGCCCCGAGCCTGCCCGGGCCGAGGTGAGCAGGACCGGCCAGGGCGGGCCGGCCGCGGAGCCGATGCCCCGGGTACCGGGCTCGCGGCCGCCGGGAGCGCCGCGCCCGGCCCCGGCTGCCGGCGGGGGGGAGGGGAACCCGCCGCGGCTCCTTGGGGTGGAGGCGGCTGAGGGCCCTTCTTCCCGGGTCGGGCCGGGCCTCGCCCGGCTCCTTATGGGGGAGGGGATGGGAGCGCCCAGCACGGAGCCGGCTGTAAACCTCCAGTCTCGGAGCATCGGGATGCTGCTTGAGAAGGGGCCTCGTGATGATCAGACGTGTCCTAAAGAGCTGCAGATACTCATCCCGGGTAGAAAGTTTGTAACAGAGAACAGTGGGAGGCGTTTCGTATTCCCTGAGGATAAGAACATCGGCCATTTCATTGTTGAAACCGCCAATTCTCAACTGCTTACCCAAATTGAGCTTTGCATGACCTATGGGTTTTGCCAAATATATATGGATTATGAAGAATGGCTCTCACTTTTTAAAAACGTGCTCTGGCTTGCAGGAAGTAGCCCTCAGGAACGCAGAGGAATAATCCGTCTTTGAAAGTATTGAGCGCTGCAATTTATGGAATGCCCAAACTAACTTCATCAGCGTACCAGAACCCTGTCCTTTGGCCTTATTAACGACTTTAATTTATGCTAATCGAATCACTGAGTCACTTGTATTCGGAACCTCGGCGGCAGTTTTAAATAGCTTCCCTATATCAGGGAAAGGTTCTCATTTCCAATGTGGACTCCTGAGTTGAGGCCTCTGTGGTCTCTTCCAGTAGGAGAAGTTTGGCGTCCGGCCTCCCAGGCTACATTGGGCCAGTCGCTGCCTAACTAATCTTTCTAAGATTGAATTCTGTTTTCCTTCCCAGAAATCCTCAGTGAATTGCCCCCGCACCCTGACTTCAGTCCATCCTCTTCTGGAGGGTCAGGTTTCTTCCTTATTTGGCCCCAGTCTTAGCCACCACACCCTTGCTCATATGCAATACTCACACCACTCTGACCTGAGACGCGCCTTGTGCTTGGTGGCTAGTCTCCCCAGCCCACAGTCTCCCTAAAAGGATTCCGTGAGCCGGGAGCCCACTGGTCAGAACCTTTCCCCCCTTTCAGGAACCCGCAGATACCTGCTGTATGTGAACAGCAGAATTCCCTATAATTTCCTGGTTAAACGTGATTTCTCATCTGTGCACACCTGGACTCAGCTGACCCTGCTCGCCTTTTCCACTTCTGAAATTGAACTGAAATGCTGATTGATTCATGAAAGATACTCTTAGTGTTTATCATTTAGCCTTCTGTCATTTAAACTCCTCATCTGTCATTAACTTAATATCTTCAAGGGAAACTAGTTTGGGTTGTAACTTAGAGAGACTCTGAATGTAACTTTCCAGGCCTTTTCATCAGAGCTCTAGTTCGATAGTGATTTTTGAGATATAAATAGTGGTAGGTGGCTACTAATAATACCCTTTTAGGCACCTGGGTGGCGCAGTAAGGGTCTGACTGGCTCAGGTCATGATCTTGTGGTTTGTGGGTTTGAGCCCTGCATGGGGCTCTGTGCTAACAGCTGGGAGCCTGGAGCTTGTTTCGGATTCTGTGTATCCCTCTGTCTCTGCCCACCCCCCCACCCCATGCTTTGTCTCTCTTTCTCAAAAATAAATAAACATTAAAATTTCTAATAAAAAATAATACCCTTTTAGACAGCTAGGGAAAATCTAGCCTGTAAAATAAAGGCATCAGTGTGCAATGACTGTATTAAGTGGTCTTAAGGATTCTTGTCTTTAAAACTGGAAATGTGAAGGGAAGGGGCAGGCACAATATAATACGATTTTTGTCTTTAATGTTTTGATACACAGTTGAGCCTTGAACAATGTGTTTGAAGGTCTAAGTTATAAATGGATTTTTTTCAATTCAATACTGTAAATATACTCTTTCTTATGATTTTAACATTTTCTTTTCCCTGACTTTATTATAAGAACACAGTATTTAATACATACAACATGGGAAATATGTATTAATCAATATCAGTTTATGTTTTCTGTAAGCCTTCCTGTCAATAGTAGGCTATTAGTAGTTGAGTTTTGGGGGAGTCCAAAGTTATATGCAGATTTTCCACTGTACAGGGGCTCAGCACCTCTAACCCCACATTGTTCAAGGGTCAGCTGTATTCTCAGTGGTCCTTTTGGGATAGGAATTTATTCTAAATTGTCTATTGTAGCAGAATCTAATTATTTTTTTTAATTGTATTTTCATCTTTTTGAATGGCTCAGGGTTTTTTCTCTCCTGCAGCATGTTGGAAGAGATTTTTCTGTCGTGTTTTCTGAACTGTGTAATAGAACTATCATTTGCCTTTTTTGTCCAGTTGGTAGAGGTAAGATATGGTCAGGGTTCAGTCTAATAACCATGTAAGCAAGGGCCGAGCATTGGTGGATGTCTGAAAGTTTCAGCCATTTTGCTTTGTCGCTACATCCAGTAGGTGTTTTAAAAGGGTAGGATATTTAAATTGACTGTTTTTCATGCCACTGTGTGAGAGAATGGTGGGGGGGGGGAATCTCTCCTTCGTTGGTAGGCATTCAGGTGTGAGACATATAATAATGTAGCTGTATCTCACAGGGTGATTTGACGCAAGATCACTGAACTTCTGAGAGGGCTTTCTACATTGGGTGGTTTTGTTTTTTTCTTTTCTATAATTAGATAAAAAAGTTGGGCGGTCAGTGTTTATGCTGTACTCAAATCCCAGTTTACAAAGCCATGGAAAGAGTAGTTGTTGACCACTTTGGGTCCTTTCTTAATGCAGTTTATGCTTCTAGCGACTTAGGTTTTTTTCTTATTCTTTCCCTGGACAGAGCATGTAACACAAGGAGCATTAAGTCCCTTTAGTGAGGGCCATCAGGCAGTTTATAATTTGCTGCAGATTCTGGAAGCCCAAAGAACTGCTCTGGCTGCAGAGCACGGTTGATAAAGCCACAAAAGCCTTTTACCTCACCCAGTACAAATTCTTGTTGTTGTATTTCTGCTTTACTGTTTCTTGGCTTTTTTTTTCTTTGCACTGTGAGAAGGCCTTCCGTGCAATATTTGAAACTTTTTTCCATTTTCATGACGCTGCACTCCTGCTCCAGCCAGCCCAACCTCCCAGTTCTAGCCTCTTTATGGCCAAGCTAGAGGCCGTCAGGTGGCTCTTGGCCTGCTCTTGATTGCTGTGGCAAAATGAAGTGATCATTTTGTTACTGAATTTATTTGGTGCTATTCTATCATCAAAGTGGTTCATTTAAAAGAAATCAGTGAAACTAAATGCATTTAACACATTTCAAATCTCAATTTATAAATATATTAGCAAACAGTAACATGTATAAAAATAAAGCTGTTAAACTCATTAAAACAAAATGTATTGGGGTGTCTGGGTTGTTCAGTTGCTTAAGCATCTGAGTCTTCATTTTGGCTCAGGTCATGATCTCATGATTTGTGAGATTGAGCCCCATGTCAGGCTTTGTGCTGGCAACATGGAGCCTGCTTGGGATTCTCTCTCTCTCTCTCTCTCTCTCTCTCTCTCTCTGCCCCTCCCTTGTGTTCTCTCTCTCAGAAGTAAATTTAAAAAAATTTTAATGTATTCATAAAAATCTAATTATTAAATATATAGTATTCTAGTATGAATTAACAAGTAACATTAAAAAATAGAATATTAAAAAAATAGGGGCACCTATGTGGCTCATTCAGTCGAGCATATGACTTGATTTCAGCTCACGTCATGATCCCAGGGTCATGGGATTGAGCCCTATGGTGGGCTCCATGCTGTTTGGAGCCTGCTTGAGATTCTTTCTCTTCCTCTCTCTCCGTTCTTCTCCCCATCTCTTTCTCAAAAAAAAAAAAAAAAAAAAAAAACCAAACAAAAGATAAACAAAACAATTCACATAGAAAATAATTTACATGATAAAGTACAATTATTATATATTT